TTTTTTTTTTTTTTTAGCTCAGTCATCATATTTCAATATTTTATAGAAAATCGAAAAAAAAAGATAACTTTGCGAGTTTATTTGAAAAAGTCGTAATTTATAAAATTTTAATTGACATTTTATACCAAGTAAAAAAAAATAAACAATATTCTTTTATTACAAAGAAAATATATATTTATGGTGTGAAACAACATGTTTCATAACATAAAGTATAATAAATGTGATCAATGTAATCAAGTTTTATGTCTTAAATAAACTATACGAGTTTGATGCATTGTACATCAGATTTTTACATAATTTTTTTTTGTATTGGTAACAGACCTTAACGATTTCTATAAAATAAGTCGGTGAAACCAAGGTTATTAAACAATATCAATAAACCCAGGAGATGTAAAGCGATGATAAGATGCGTGTAAATATTTTTGAGAAGAAATTCTACATATTTCAGAATCCATGACTATTGAAAGCCACAATGACGTCTTGTTTACATTTTGATCCTCCAGCATCTCTTGGACCAAATCCACGGTACATACTCTAATCCGCAGATCATTTACAGTATTAGGTTTCCGCGCCAGTAGATAATAAACCGGATATTCAAAATAAAAATAACTAAAAAATGCGTTTATACCGCTGGAGGAGATCTATTGTTTAAAACAAGATCAAATAAAAATGATTAAAAAAAAGTTGGGAGAGAAAATAATGAGAGAAGAAATGAACCGCGTGCTACTCACGATTGGTGTATATTAATTTAGCATATAAGCTCATGATTCCCGATCTGTTTAAAGTTTAGCGTTTTTTTAAATAAAGATCGCACAAAAAAAAACAAAAAAAAAAGTTTAAGTAAAGATCGCACGTTCAAAACATCTCTTCTTCGCATAAATTCTTTACTCTCAATAATACGAAACCAACTTACCATATCTTCTCCCATGTTAATGTTTGAATGTTTCGAATTTATTTGTGGTAAGTTGAGAAAATATTTCTGATGATAGTTAGCTTATCATTTTTCTTATTATATATCTACGGTAATAATCTTTACGATAGAAAGACATATGTTGCAAAGTAAGATAATCATAAAGATATAAATAATTATTTGAATCAAGACAACTTCACTGTGATTTTGCCTCATTAATAAAGCAGGAAAGAAATCTCAAGGGTGAAAAAATTACTTATTATTTTGGGAAAACTATCAAAAACAAATTCATCACCGTAGTACGTAATTCTTCAACAGAGAATAATTTTTCGTTGAAAATGATAGTCGTGTTTCAGAATCAAAGCTCAAATTGATGAGACGTTAGAACTATTCCCGACTGATATAATTATATTATATTCGAGGAATAAAAATTTATAAGATCAATGCATTTGGTCTTATTGATCAAAAACTTATTAAAAGACTCTTCGATATACAATGTAGGCTAATTGAAACAAATCTTGGTATTACACTTATTCACGAATATAAGGACAAAGGAATCAGACTCACGAGTGAACTGAATAGACATACTACATGTTTTGTGAATTCCTGGCCAATTTTTCTTCATATGCGGACTCCTGTCGCACCTTTGTGAGGAACGTTAGACGTAATTGTTCGATTAATGTATATTATTTCATTGCGAAACTATGATTTATCTGGATCTTGATTCTCAATTGATATACTATGTGTATATATTATATAAATACAATAAAAAAAAGAATTTTATTTTTACTACAAAGGATAAAATGGTGCGTTTTATTATTACATCAATTTTTTTATTCACGGCGATTAACAAAATTTCTAAAGGTGTAATTGCATAAAGATACGTTGTAGAGGGCTTGAACCATTTTTTGCTATTATCGTTGCGGGTAGAATTAAAAAAAATAAAATTTAAAAATACTCCCCCGATAGAAATTCTCCTTATTTGATATGTAATACGATTATAATTAAAAATATACCATGCATTGTATACATACCGTACATATTTTGATAAGTGAATAAATGAATGAATTTAAAATTGTAGTTATTATGAGATCTCGAGTCTGATAAAATATGATCCATCTAATCTTTGTTTGGTTTCGTTTTATATTATTGATAAAATATGTGAGTAACCCATTCCAATTACAAAACTGGTTTCATTCAGAATAATCTTTTTGATGTGCTTTTATCTATCGGAACCTTATCCATACGAAATTCGGGAGAAATCATCATGCATCAACCCATTTTGGTGTTTTGTTTTCGGGAGTTCCTTTTCTCTTCCTATCTAATAATTTTATCAATCAAAACTTTACATATGCTTTACATATAATCTTTTGATCTTTGCATATGATAAAAAAATTAATATGATCAAAAAAGTCAACGGTGGCATTTTTTTCTTTTTTTTTTTTTAAAAAAAAAAATTCGTGTAAATTAATAAATGTGATTCTAAGAAAAATGCGAGCATTTGTGACATTCCAGAGGGCGTTCTTTTTTTATTTAAACTGCTCGTTCAGGTCTCTTATACACATCTTCAGTATCAGAAGAAGAATCACTATCAAAATGAAGAACTTCTTCCGTATCTTCTATCATAGGATCAGAGAAGAAAACATCATTACGAACACTATTTTTTTGACAAGATTTTTTATCACTATCATAACAAATGGTAGGAGATTGATCAAGAGAAAAATCGATTGGTAAATCATTGGGCATTGAAAACTCGGCTATTGATTGAGATACATCTTGCATTGTTGAATCCAAAGAAATAAGAGGTTGAACATTCAAAGTTTGAGTTGGAACAACATGAGAAGGGGTAATATTCATAGGAGTTGAATGATGTTGTTGTTGAGAAACATTATTAATTGAAGATATCGTACGTGAAATAACACGAGATTGTTGAATCATTTGATTATGTTGTTGTTGTTGCTGTTGTTGTTGTTGTTGTTGTTGTTGTTGTTGTTGTAATTGAAAATATTGAAGTTGTTGGGAATAAAGTTGTTGTTGTTGTTGTTGTTGTTGTTGTTGCTGTTGTTGTTGTTGATGAAAATAAGTTTGATAAGGTTGAACTTGACTAAAACAATTTTGTTGCATATTATTATCATAATAATCCATTGAAAGTAAAACAGTTGATGACATTTCTTTTGAATTCTGTAAATTTGAATTTGGTAAAATATCACCGAAACCACATTGTGTTGGAACGATTATTTGAGGTTGTTGATAAAGTTGTACCGTCGTAGGTCTGGACATTGGTAAAATTTGACGTGGAATTTGAGAGATAATGGAAGGTTCGTTATAATTCGTACTTGACAAATTACGTTGATTATTTGATTTATTTGCACTTGATGTACTTGGCATCGTTATAATAATATTAATATAATATAA